CCTGGATCTATATCTGGTTCACTTTCCTATCTCTGCTAAGCTTGGTAAGTTGGCATTCCCCATAAAGGCAGAAGATGTGGCTCATTTTGATCTGAAGGGAGTGTGGGCGGCCATGGAAGATTGCTAGAGACTGGGACTCACCAGAGCCATCGGAGTCAGCAACTTCTCCATTAAGAAGCTCGACGAGCTACTCTCATTCGCCACCATCCTACCAGCGGTGAATCAGGTGGAGATGAACCTGGAATGGCAGCAGAAAAAGCTGGTGGGCTACTGCAAATCAAAAGGGATAGTGGTCACAGCGTTCTCACCGCTGAGGCAGGGAGTGGGTAGGGGATCGAACGAGGCCATGGAGAGTGATGTGATGAAGGAGTAGGGGTGGAAACAAGCCAGACGGCCTATCAGGGGCCTATGGCCTGGCCTGTATTTGGCCTGGCCTGGCCTGGCCTGTTTCCCAAAAAAGACAGGCTCAGGCCTGTTTGAAGGCCTGTTTAGTTAAACAGGCCAGGCTTAGGCTTTTTAAAAAGCCTATTAAGCCTGTTAGGCCAGCCTGGGCCTGTTAAGAATTTATAATTATAATATATATAAAAATTAATTAACGCTATTATTGTTAATGTGCTCTTTTAATTTATTTTTTAATTTTAATATATAGTTAATAGCTTAATCTTTTCTTAGATTTTGAAGTTTAGATGACAAGTGAAGATAAAAATATAATTTAAAATAATAATATTAATAAATAATGTGATTTTTAAATCTTAAAAATATAAAAAAAAATAGGAAAGAAAAATTTTGTTTCAAGAATGATAAATTAACTAACTTAGTATTATGTTAATTTAAGTATGATATCCTCTTTATTCATTATAAAATTATTTTTTTTCCTCTTTATTTATTTGTCTTAATTTTAATTTTTTGTGTGTACTTAAACGTAGTCTTATTCTAAATTTTAACATATAATTACAATTAGTTTTCAATAACATTCTTATAAATTATAATTAAGATTTAAAATAGTACTTATGATACTAAAATTTAAATAAAAGACAAGACTAAAAATTTAATTATTATGTACGTTTTTTTTAATCTTAGCTTTTTTTAAAAAAATAATAATTATAATTTGAATTTTTTAAAAATACAGGCCTTTTAACAGGCTTCAGGCCAGGGTCAGGCTGAAAAATAAGCCTGTAACAGGCCACAGGCCAGGCTCAGGCCAATAGGCTTCAAAATAGGCCTGGCCTGTTAAGAGCAAGGCCTGGCCTGTTTCCACCCTTATGAAGGAGATAGCAAAAGCGCGGGGCAAGTCAAGCGCTCAGGTTTTCCTGAGATGGCTCTACGAGCAAGGCGTGACGTTTGTGCCGAAGAGCTACAACAAAGAAAGGATGAAGCAAAACCTGCAAATCTTTGACTGGTCGTTGACTAAAGATGATCATTAAAAAATCAATCAAATAAAGCAGCAATGCTTGATTGATGGACCCACCAAGCCTTCGCTTCCAGATCTGCACGATGACGAAATATAAAGCACAAATAATATTGGGTTAAGGTGCGTTTAGTACCCTAAACTATTTTTCCAAGTATGGCCAATGTTCTAAAGGAATTTTTCGTGTATCTAGTGTCTCAAACTAATTAAGACGGTGCATCCATATCCTAAGCTAACAGAAAAGTCTCGTTTAACTATTACCTTGCTGACTCAGTTGAAGGCTGACCGAAAAATCCTACATGGCGGATATGCAGGCATCTGATGTGTATTATTTTGACCAAAGCTCCTGAGACGAGCCTGGTGGCGACGAGTGCTTTCTCGGGAGGGGACATCGATGTTGATGAAGTGACCAATGGGAAGTTTACTGTGTTCTACAAGGAGGAAAGCAAATGTGAGTCGGATAAGGAGTTGACAGAGATGGAGACGGAAGTGTGCTGTGACGGCGGTTGCAGCTTCAAATCGGAGTGGTGGAAGAAATGGGATAAAATGTTAAAGACGAGGATGTGATTGACTGGGTGGTACATGTATCAAGATTTAAGAGGGTGCATCGGTAGTCTTTCTTTTTTTCTTTTCAAGTTTAAAACTGGCAAAAGATAAATGTTAGAACAGGAGGAAATCAATTAAATTTTCAATCAAAATAATGCATATCATACACCTGCATGTCCACCATGTAGGATTTTTCAGTCAACCTTCAGTTGAGTCAACAAGGTAACGGTCAAACGAGACTTTTCTATTAACTTGGGATGTGGATGCACCGTTTTAATTAGTTTGGGACACTGGACGTATCAAAAATTACTTTAGGACACTGGGCGTACCTGGAAAAATAGTTCTGGATGCTGGGTTCACCTTAACTTGTCAAAATAATACATATCAGACGCCTGCATGTCCACCACGTAGGATTCTTCAATCAACCTTCGACTGAATCAGCAGGGTAATGGTCAAACTTAACTTTTCTGTTAACCTGAGATATGGATGCACCGAAAATTATTTTAGAACACTGGGCACATCTAGAAAAATAGTTCGGGATACTAGGCGCACTTTAAACCAATAATATTTGATGGATTCTGCACAGTACAGAGATAAAACCACTAATACATCGCACAGTACTCAGTTGATCCTGTTTCTAGTGTGTTATCATATAGTAGTAGTTAAATATCTGCTTATTTTGAGCTCTATTGCTGCAGTTATGGATGTAGTGGGATATATAAGATGAATAAACTTTGAATATCTATCACTCATAGTTAATTTTTTTTTGGCCAAAAATCACTCATAGTTAATTTGATTACAACTTTTGATCTTAATTCTTATGATTATCGGAGGTTTATATGCCCCCTGTTCTAAGCTGGGCTCCTACAAGATTCCTAAACCTAGCCAGGAGGAAGAAGAGCATGTTAAAGTAAACGTTGGCGGCGCATTCTCACTGCAAATACGTTAGTTACTAGATTATTCAAACATATGACTTCTTTTAAAACGGAAAGAGAAACAATGACTTTGCTAAAATGTGTGAAAATTTTGTTAATGAATTAATATAATTTTTAGTCTTTAAAATTTAATTTAATTTTAGTTTTAATTAATAAGATTTAAATTTAGTGTTTTTAATTCTTAAAATTTAAAATCATATTTAGCAGGGACTAATGTTCATTGGCAGAGTGAATTTGAAGTACTGAAAATACTAATTTTAAATTTTGGAGTCCATAGTCAAAATCAAGTCAAATCATCAATCGATCGATCAAATTTCAAAAAAAAAATCATATTGAAGGTACCTATACTTTCTCTCAATTTTTAATTTGATACCTATGTTTTTTTCCCTTTAAATAAACATTTAATTTTATCTTTTTAGTAACATTAGCTCTTATAACTATGTTCTATTGATATTTTTAGTCTCTACATAAGGATTAATGATGTTAATAGAGGAAAAATAAAGATTTAGTTAAGAACAAAAAACACATAAGTATCAAATTGAAAATTGAAAAAAAGTATAACTACCTCCAATATGGTTTTTCCAATTTCAAAACTAAATATCGTATCAAGCCTTCGTAGATTTACAACTTTAACCGGTAGGCGTACGTCATAGCGATGCATCTTTTTTCCTTTTCCTCTTCTTTTTCCCAAATGCATTTACGTAGCAGCCTAAACAATTCCACGCGTTATTCCTAGAAACTCTCCTGTGCGTAATGTAACGAAAATGGGGGAAAATATCTCCTGCATGCGTACAGATATACATTCCAGACTATATATATTATTCATTGACACTAATACGTAGGTATGTATATTAAGTCTGTCATTACGTGTTGAAACTTGCGTGGTTATGATGGAAGGATGGGCTGGCATTTTGACGTGACAATGCAATTTTTTTTTTTCGCATTCCATCCCGTGTAATTTTCTCTGTTATGCTACATCAAATTTTTAATACAAGAGTTAATAGATTAATTTAATAAATTAAAGAAGTTTGTTAAATTAGTTATTTGTAATAAATAAGTGTCATCTTTCCTAGAATACTTTAGCTAATTATGTGTATTAGTTATAATTTCTATTTAATGAAACATTTGACATGCACAACCATTATAATGATTATTTTGAAAAAAAATAGGTAAATATAAGAGACAAAGTGGATAAGGGCCTTAGCTAATATTTATGATTAAATTGAATGTCAAACTAACTCTTATATTAAAAAGTAGAGGTAGTAAGTTTTTAATAATATTACAAAGCTTAAAAATGTTGACCAACCTAAGACTCACAATGGCGGAAGCTCCCAACACAACCTTTATACAAGGCAACGCACAGTAACAGCTTTAACATTACAAAGAAGATTAGCATGAAGATGCTCAAGGATGTTGTAAATAACGTGTAAATGTGTCAGAAGAAGAATCCCACATTGCTTGTGATAACGGGACTTCAAATAATAAGTGATCTTTGATTACTACATGGGGTAAGAGGAGGAATGTGCTCGCATGCACAACATGCCACTAGAAATAAATCCGACAACTTCTTCTCATCTCTTGTGGACGAGTCAAATATGGTACTGCCCATTTTTTATAGGAAATATCCAATTAATATGTTATTTTAACTACAATTGTGTCCTTTCAACATTCGTAATGAAGGTTTTATTCATTTTAAATAATCATCAAATGAGTTAATGACTATTTAAGGCTGCTCATTTAATTGTGTTCATGAATATATTAATTCTGCAGCTAATAAAAAGGGCATGAGGCCAAAGTTCATGGCACCTTCAGTTCTGAGCTTTCGACCAACTCTTTCTTCTCTTTTGGTGTTCTGCCTCGCTGGGTTCTTTTGTGTTTCACTGCTTTATTCACCTTGTTCTGCAGAGCATTAGAGAGAAATTGGAAGATCCACCAAATTTGTATGAGAATTTAGATATTAGCGCCAACAAAGGATGGCCGGCACAAATTGAGAAATGGAAATCTGATTCTTATAACCTAAACTTTCTACCGTAGAAAGAATAATTACAACACCATAATCAAGTTTACGTTTCTGCCAATCAGTACCAAGGCTTCCTATGTCACAATAGAAGTTTAACAATCACCAATTAGATTATCCATAAATTTTAACGAAAAGAGTAAGGGTGCCTAGAATTACTGATTACCGCAAAATGAAACATCTTTTTCAGTATATATGAATACACACACACACATATTGCCTTTTTCTAATTCTTTGATATTGTACGTACAGACACAGCTATATTTACATGGTTTATATTTCACACACAAAAAATAATGCAGAAACTGTGGTTTTAGTCCTCTGCATATTCTTCACAGGCTACCAAGAACCCTCCAGATCCTTCTATTGTCTTCCTTCTCAGATGGCCGTTTACTTCCAAATAGTTTATTATACAGGAAGAGAATAATGCAGAAAGAGATAAGCAGTTCCCATCCAACTGATGCAAATGCAAGAAGTAGGTCAAAATCTGAACATAGACGAAAATGAAAAGAGAAATTTACTTATGATCAAGCACTTTTCTCTGTTTCCAGTAAAATTGCCTCTAACTGCCAGTGCTTCTCAAGCGTCTCAGAACGTCCTTTTCGCCAGTGAGTTGCTTGACCAGGCCTTTAAATTGGGCAGAATGCTTCAGTATGATATGGTTTGAACAACATTCAAAGAGCAAAAGGATCCTTAAAGGTCTAATTTAAGGAAATGAACGAATGTTACTATCTTGGTCATCACAAATCACTCACGCACAGAATATTATTACCGTTGGTATAATCACGACAGTCATGCAGACCAACTCTCAAATTTGTATCCCAATTCTTGTTGAATTCATTAGCAATGCCCACACCATCTGCTTTTGAATATCCAACCAGCCAACATTTTCTTCTTGGCATCGTTTTCATCTTCCTTACGAGAACAGTTCCTGAAAAAACAAGCAGTCATGGATTCTCAAAGTGCTCCATTGAATGATTACTACTGACAATAGTAAGATAAGTGTTAACTTTTGAGGAGGTTTTAATTCAACTTTCTGTTCAGTATGCATGCCAGAAGGGTTTTGCCCTGCAACTATATAACTAATGTAATTGCTTCACTCAATACGATTCAGAAGTCAAACTTTCTTGAAATATAAGATGATTAGTGCTGACCTGGTACTGTTTTACCCGATAGAACTGCAAGTGCCACATATATATCTTCAGGGTCATTAGGTTGAAAATCAAAAACCAGGACCTAAAACAACATGTTCATTATGATCAAAAATCTAGTTTCCATTAACATCCAGTAAGTTGCAGAAAATCCCATCTTTCCTTCCCAACAAAACCTTTAATCACTGAAAAGAAAATAGAAAATTTCAACTTCAGAAAACTCAAATCCCATAGTACAGTGAAATGTCGCCCCTAAGGTTTTTTGGGGGGGGGGGGGGACAAGAAAAAGAGAAGAAATCCAACATTTCTGTCTATCAAATCCATTGTGTGCTCTTGTGGTTTGATTCCTACATCACAATCATCTATCTCAAGATGTATACACTAGGCCATCAGATTCCACAAGCTTCAAAACAGCAGAAGAGGAAACATAAAAGCGGGCTACAAAAGCACTATTGAATCTAGAAAATATCACATTTTCATTAAATAAAGGTAAATCACTAGGTTGTTCCACGCAATCTAAATATTCTTACTTCACGCTTTGAAGCTAATCCTCTGTGAAAAAATGTTGCTGAATTTCACACATCCTAATTCTATGCATAATTCATGTTAGCATGCTCAAACCTGGGCAGCATTAAAGATGGCAAACACGAATAGATGTCCCTTCATCATCTATATTTATCCCTTTCCTTAGCATCAACCATGTTAACAGTTTCAAGAATCGAACAATCCCCAGAAAGTTTAAGAAGAAAAGACCTAACTATAAACATGAAGCCTTTCAACAAATCCGGAAATGGATAAGGTAAATGTGAAAGAGAGAGGGGGGGAAAGAGAGGGAACCTGAGGAGGAGAAATTGGGGAGGAGGTTTTGAGGATGACCATGAAGTGCTGGAAATCCCAGAAATTGAGAGAGTAAGCTGAGGACATAACCAACTGGGCTGGTCCTTTGGTGGCTCTCAAAGGCATTGCCGCAACATACACTTCATCTCTTCCCCTTGCTAAGTTTGCTTTCGACAAGAGAGACGCCATTTTACTTACAGTGAAAGAAACCGAAGATGCCGCTGATTGAATGTTATGTGACCCAAAAGCCAAGATGGGGAGACGCACAAGTTTAAGTTCTTGATTTTGACGGCTGCATGCAGTGTGCGATCATGGGCATCTGACTGACGACTTTGCAATGCAAACGATTTCTTACAGAACTATTGTATGACGAGTGGACGAAAATGCTCCACGCGCGTGCGCCGCGGCCCTTTTCCTTTTTGGGTTTTTGGGGATAAAATGGGTGGCGATCATGTTTGCTCCAAGAAGGAATGTTTGGATATGAGGCCCGTTTTTCTCAAATCCAAAAGACGGCTTCTCATCCCAAAGACCCAAACCCAATAAATTAAATGTGGCAATATTTTCTCTTTTATTTTTTGTCGCAAATAATTTATACACAAGGTATCAAAAGTTGCCTCCCAATATTTTCTATGATTATAATGAATATATTAGTATATATACTTCTCTATTCCTACTCCTCCGATCTTTAATATAAGACCTATTTAATTAATTTGATTAAATTAAAGAAGTTAGGTAAGTTAGTTAATTATAAGAAATGTGATATATTTTTCTTAAAACACCATAATCATTTTTCTTAATATATTTTCTTCCTCTTTTACTTGATTATAGTTCAAAGAGTATCCATAGGGGTAATTTAGAAAAAAATGATAAATATGATAAATATGTTTTATATTTAGAACCAAAATCAACTCAATAATTAGGTCTTATATTAAAGACCGGAGGAGTATAATAAGATACTTGCAGCATATTTCATAAAACTCATTAACTGAATGCTGAAGTTTAATAATTTTTCAGGTTTACTATCCCTCCTGTTCCTTCTTTTTTTTTTTATTTTAAATTAAGCTAAGGTATCAATATATATCTTCCAATTGGTTCCGGTTTAAGACACTAAATATAGACACCTCTTGTAATAGAAATCTAAATTTTGGTTCAATTGTTGTGAGTAATTAACCTTTTCTGTTAAACCCAACATTAGTTGATCCTCCGATTCTTATTATAAGCATCTAAATAACTTTATGTAAATTAATGAAGTTAATCAAAATTGGTTATTTCTTGTAAAATATTAGAATTACTCTCAGCAAAGGTTATTAATTAGTTAAAGTAGCTTGGTTAATTAGTTAGAAAGTTTTATAATACTTTAGATAAAATATCTTATATAATAAAATATACAAAGCACGTCTGAATTTATCCTCCTGCTTTCATTTCAAAATTATTTTCAAGAATTTAGACATAAATGATTCAAGTAGATTCAAGCTCGCTATGGTGGATTATATTAAATCTTTTTTAACTAAATATTTTAGTTGGAGGCACAACTAGAACGAACTATATAGCGCAATGATATTGGCAAGCTGTTAAACAAGGAAAGGCCAGAAAACAACACAGTACATCTGAAGAAACAAAGGGAAGGTAAAAGGGAAACGAAAGGGTAAGATAATAGAAGAGACACTTGGTAGCCAACAAACACTAACAAATTATTACACCACATGCTAAGTGTCTATATTATTTGATCCCACACAGATTCATGCATTGCCATGTGGGTGACTGACTCCGTACGAAGACTACAAAACACAACACAGCAACTTAATTGACATGCAACATCACAAAAACACAACCAAACACAAGAAACCCTCTAAAACATAAACTCACAAAATAGGTAATAGAGATTATTATTAAAAAGATAGAACAGTACTATAGAATCCATTTGAGTGTGGGTCCCATGCATGCTCTCATTCAGTCTTTTCAGCTGCAGTAGTAATTTCAGCTTCTGTGCCTTGTTCATCCCTTTTCTTCTCTTCAGTTTCTGATTCTTCTTTCTTTTCTTCCTTCTCTTCACTCTTTGCCTCTTCCTTCTCTTCTTGGCTCTTTTCAGCTGAGGCTTCTGGCTTCTCTAGATTCTCCTCTTCCTCCTTCTTCTTCTCAGCTTTGTCTTCCTCAACTTCCTCTTCTTTCTTGACCTCTTTATGATCTTCAGGAGTCTTGGTTCTTTCTTCTTCAGTCTTTGGTGCCTCAACACCTGCAACTACTTCAGTATTTTCTTTGCTGGTTTCTTCTGCAACTACTGCTGCAGTAGTCTCGTCTTCTTCCTTCTTGGTCTCTTCATCTGTCTTCTCACGTGCAGCCTCTTCTGTCACTGTTTCAACAACCTTGACTTCTTCTGCTTGATTTTCATGAACCCCACAGATAAGTGTGTGCACTAATAGAACTAATTAAATTTAGATTAAAGTGAATGTCCAGTTATATTTCATTGCCGTATGGTTGGCCCTCACATCATCTTATCTGACACTGTTTCAATTTTCTTTTTTTTGGTTCAATTAATGATTAATAAGTTCTTACCGTGATCAAGCTTTTTAGTTTACATCAGCCTCTGATCTATTTTAAAAGTTGTATATATTGAGTCTCCTGGTCTAGATTGACATGAGTACATCAGTCCATGAACCCAGTTGAACATCTATAGTATTAATGAATGCCAGACATTATCAATTATATTGATTAAGAATCACATGAAAATTGGCATAAATATGTCAGAATTTTCATTGGATGCAAATTATCATCACAAGCTAAGTACGAGTTAGTTCTTTTCTTTATTTGCTTCCGTTTGCCCTAGTTGTTCATAATTATAGTACAAATCATACATATTTAGATGAGTCACGATAGTTGCATCCAACAAAATTTAGAGGAACACTGTACTGAAAAAGAGTTTATTAGAGGCAATCAGACTGAATACAAATGTTTTAAGACTCCAAGGATCTAATCATAACGACGAGTGAATTAGATACTTATAATTAGTATATTTGCTTCAATTCATGGATCTCTGCTATTAACATGGAGCAAGGGCTAGCTAATTAAATTTAATTACCTCGTGAAATTGCCGGTTTTTCCTCCTGTTGTGATTCCTGAGACGCAGGCTCAGGATTTGCTGCAGGTGTTGGAATATTCTCTTCGCTCGTCTTCTTCTCAGTAGATTCCTCAGCTGGCAGAGCAGTTTTTGCCGACACAACCTGCAACAATATAGTCATGGTTAATTTAATTATTAACAAAAACATGTAACTATTCTAAAAACATAGCTTCCTGCGCCATTTCGATTTTCAAGAAGCAAAGGCCTACATATATCTCTATTCAGTAGGCTTGATCTGATCATTAATCAGAAACTGAAAAATATTGAAAAGAAAAAAAAACCCTAAGAAAGGCAGAAATATTTGTTAATGATCCTCTCATGATGCTGATAATTTCAGTATATTGGTATGATTAATTAGAGTGACCAATATGATATAGAAACCGTGTACATAGAGGAGCCAGAAACGAAGATCTCTATTGATTACCTCAACAGCGGCCATTTTCTTTTGCAGTGAGTCAGCTAGGAATAGTTGAAAGGAGGAGGAAGAAGAAGATGATCACTTAAGAGGGTGAAAGAGATAAGGAGTAAACTAAATGCTTTTGGTGAGATGAAATGGGGTGAAGAGTGCATTATATAGAGAGAACGAGAAGCCTCAGGTTGGTGTACAGGACCATAAAATGGAATTGATTAGGAAAATCTACCTATAAAAACGCCAAATTTTTTTTAAAATAATAAAAAAATTAATTATTCTTTAGGTAATAAATCAACCCATGTATTTGGTTTTACCTACTAATCTAGATTCAACGTGGGGTAAATCCCATGGTTAAAAGAAAAAGGGGGGGAAAAGAAAAGAAAAGATGTGGTTAAGTTAAATATAGACATGCTCTTCAATACATTGGTCTAATTGTTTTTAAGTACATAATTTTTTTTATTTTATTTGAAAAAAGTTATTACCTTGTTAGATTTTACAAAACGACTTACCAAAATTTAAGAAATTAAGCTGTGATCATGTTTTTTCAAAAGCATCATTTTGAATAATTTATAATAAATATAAAATTTGACAATAATCTATTTTACAACTAATTTAAATTTTAGGTTTTTTTTTTTGGGGAAAAATTCTGGATGGTTAAGAAAAATGAAAAGCAGAAAAGGGGTTCATACTAGTGGTTTAAATATGCTGGGATGCAGCATGCCTCAGTAGCGAATATATTCTGATTCCTTTCTGTGTCACACCAAATATATTAAATATAATTTATTCTATTTTGTTTCTTTAATAAATTTACACACAGACACAGAAACTTTATTTAGTTTCATTTTACTGTATATGTTCACTAAACAAGTGTTAAAAGGAAGCAGATTTTTGGGAAGAATTAGGAGGTGATGGGGACAATATGAGAAGAATCTTGGGATTTGACGCCTCTAATTCAGTGAATGGTATTTGGAACAAGAACTATGGTAGGCAATAATGGCAGCATGGTCTTAGAAATACGAAATTATGCCCCCCATTATCTTCAAATGTTATCATTACTTCCGGAAAAAAAATATTATTATTATTACCACTATTATCGGTTAATTATCTAATCCAATTTACAAATTCTTTCAACATGTTTTAATTTACTTAAATTAAGAAAAAATTTAAATATTATTATTTTTGTCTTAAAAGTTAATAAACTTTTTACTTTATTTTTATTTAATATACATATGTATAAGCTCTTAAAAAAATACACAAGATAATAAATTAAGAGTAAAATTGTATAATAATATAATAAATTTAATGAGATTATTTATATTAAAAAAATATTATTTTCTATGCTATGAATATCTCATTATGAGCAACATTTTCTTTGCTCTATGGAAAACCCATCATCTTCTTTTGGCTGCTTTTGTTTCTGTGCTTTGTGCGGTCCCACATTTAGGTGACTCATCCATTTACAAACTATATACGGTACTGCAATATGCAATCTCTGATTTTAAATACAAAAGTTAGTTAATTAATTTAAATTGATTAAAAAATAAGTTAAATTAGTTATTTGTAATAAATAGGTATTTTGTTCTAAAATATCTTTACTAATTAAATTTATTAGTTAGAACTATCACTAGAAGGATTATCTTAAGAAAAAAAAGATAAATATGAGAGACAAAATATATTATAGTCTTATATTTAAAACTAAAATAAAAGTTAAACGAGATTTTAAATTAAGGAGCGGAGGTAGTATTAATTTATGCAGCTATATGTGTTCATAAATTAATAATCATTTCTTCCTCATGAAAATATTTAACTTTCCAAATTAATTTATGTGCGTGCATCACCTTGAATTACCTTTTTATATCTTTTTGCAAGGCTAGGACGCAAAAACAAGCTATTTATCACAAAATGGTCAAAATCTGTGCGTTAGATTATGTTGTTGTATGTTTGAATTAACTTATTTTCAGTGATTTTGTGCCGTATAAAATAAATATATTTAAAGAATTTTGTCTGAAGATGAAGAAGAATTTCATTAAAAAAACATTGCAGTTGTCCTTTTTAAAAAAATTGTATATTATGCAAAATTTAATATAAGTTTACATCTTTACATATAGATTTTATATGATATATATACTCATCTGGTTCTATTTATAGGATAGAGTAAAAGATATTTTTTGATTTTATTTATAAGACATTGAAAGAAATTTTTGTATATATGTATAATTTTATCTTTTATTTATTATTGTGTTGACTTTATTTACATAGAGTGTAATATATGTTTGAATAGGGATAAAGTTAAAAACTTGTTAAATTTTAAATAAGCGTTAATAAAATTTAAAATTTTTTTTAATCTGTATAAAACACGTTGAAAATGATTTATAAATAAAAGTAGATAGTTCCACGCATGCCAAGGGGGAAAAGCCGCATGTTGTTGAATTGATTTGCCTTAGGGACATTGAATGGATCGCAGCAAACAAATTATCCTACCTGGAGGTGGGCCATCGGATAACGCTTAGTGAAATCTACTTGGCAATATGATACAGAAAATTATGGGCTTCAATGTTTATAATTTTGTTCAAAATTAGATAAGAAAAATGAAATAAAGAGCTTAAAATTGACCAAAGAAAATACATATTCAGTTTTTAATATCGTACATGTTTTCATTTTAATTTCATAATCTTGTGAAATATAATTCCAATAACGTTGATGCAACATCATTAAATGATGACGTTTTAATTTAATTTTTAAAATAACAATTATTTAAAAAAATCATCCAAGATAAATGATGGTAAGTCTGGAAAAAGAAAAGGGTAAATGATTGTAAGACTAAAAAAAAGAAAAACTATTTTATAAAATTAAAACTGCTTACTCCCTCATCTTTTATTTATAAACTTCAATTTAGGTTTATCTTAATATTTAATACATTTTTTAATTCAAAAAAAATACATTTTTTAATGTTACTCTTAATTATTTCTCTTTTGTCATATTTTTTTCATACATTTTCTTTCATTTTTTCCTTATTTATTATAAGAATATATTTAGAAACAAAAGTATATTTCTAACTTATTTATTATTTTTAAATAATTTAACTAATTATTTATTATCTATAAATTAGTTATTTAAAGTTTCTAATAAGATTAAGAAAGAGTATTATTAAAGATGTTTTTTTTTTTTTTACACGGAGTTTATATCCATACGGATCTTTGTATTGGGCGGAGCATGTAGATCCTCGGTCTTCACACGAGTCTTGACTGATCATATTTTAATGTATCTTGAGAAAAATTCACCGACTCATCATTCCATGACAAAAAAGATTCATTATTATTAATGGATTGCTTCGACTTTTTTTTTTTTCATTTACATATTTAGGCTGATGATCAAATCAATACGTTAATCTTTAAATAATTATCCATAGAAATAATATAACGATTTCAAATCTCTTTTTTTATATGTTCTTTCACAATGATTTGTATAATCTCTCATCATGCTTTTAATAAGTCTCTAATTTTATCTTTTCCGCAAAAAATATTTTATAAGCAATTAACAAATTATAAGTTGGCAAAAAAAGAAATTGTAAGTTTTGTAGAGAATAATTCATATATGCACACACGCACTCTTCCAATCCTTAATATTAGACCTAATTGTTAAGTTGATTTTAGTCCTAAATATAAGACATATTTCTCATATTTATCAATTTTTTCTAAATTATCCCTATGGATACTTTCTCAACTATAATCAAGTAGAAGAGAGAGAGAGGATATTAATGAAGATGATTATAGTATTTTAAGACAAACGTGTCATATTTCTTATAATTAACTAACTTACCTAATTTTTTTTAATTTAATCAAATTAGGTAAATAAATCTTATATTAATGACCGAAAGAGTATATATATAAGATACAGAATAAAATAAACAAAAAAAATTGTCACCAAATATAAGATTAATGTGGCTCACTGGGCCGAACGAGAGATTGTTGTCGCATGAGAGAACTTTATATCTTTCTAGGATCCCTCGAAATGAAAATGTATTGGAATTAGACTGCGTACACGGCCAACCACCAAATTATTTTTCATATTATAATCTTCTATCAAATATTACCAAACCAAATTTTACTATTATTAAACTCAATTAAAGTTTAACTCTTTTAAATACATTTTTTTAGTCATTCATACGCTAATTTAAAACCTCATGCTTAAATTTGCATAGTTGTTTTTACTAGAACCAATTTCTTTAGCCTTGTGAATTATTATTACATATTAATATATTTATTAATAAAGTATATTAAATTCATAAACAAAAGTACTATTGGCAAGACTGGACTTAAACACTTTGCAAACAATATAACCATGCACTGACTAAAATATGTACATGAGCTACCCGAGCTAACCCATCAAAATTATAAGAATTAACAATATTAACGGAGTAAAGTTAAATAATTTAATTAAACAAGAAAAAAAGTACAAAATAAAAATTGAAAGAAACTATATGTAGCTGTAAAATATTTTTTTCTCTGTATATATATTTTGCATCAATGGCATTTATTTGTATGTATATATAATTAATTAATTATATATATATGGATATATTAGTTTATATTTTAACTTTTATATCAAAAAAAGAACATGAGGTGGTGGTGGTGGTCGGCCGTGGAGGCCAGGATGGAGTTTTTCATCGAATAAATATATGACACGTGGAAAGATGCACCGACCTAGGCTATTGATTCGGAGATGCGATGAGGTTTGCTTGACTGGAATTGGAGGATGCGATGGGTCACAAGACACAATGAGTCACGTTCCCTTTGGACGTGATTGCTTCGTCTGTCCTTTTTGATTTGCCATTGTCCTTTTATTCCCAAAGATAATGACGTGCCACTTCTTACTATATTATTTTATTCTTGCATGTTAATAGATGTAGGAAAAAAAGACTTTAAAAAAATTATAATATTTCAATTCACACATAAAAGTTCAAAATTCTAAAAAAGAAAGTAATATTTGATTTGGTATTTTACAACTGTGGTTAAATAACTAAAATATCTTTGTATCATTTTTTTAAAAAAAAACTATTAAATTTGTCATTACTAATACATTTCTTGTTATTAGCTAGATAACACTTGTTATTGTCAGCTCACAACTTATTAATAAA